CTCATCAGCTGTACTTCAGATCAGTCAAATGCATCCATGGTTCTTTCTCTGTATTTCCCATTCCGGTCTTTGTGTCTGTCTGCCTCTCTCTGTGTCTTGGTCTTTCATTGTCTCTGTGTCCATTGTGCCTTTGTCAATGTGTCTCTCTGATAATCAGACTCCCACATGTAAAGAGTCCAGGAACAAGACAGACTTGGATTTTTATACTGCTCATCCACTTAAGAGTTTGTGATCTTAACTTGTCTCCGAATGTCAGTTTCCCCATTATTAAAATGGAGATCGTAACATTGACCTTGTTGAGTTGCCATGAGGATAAAATGAAACAAAGAGTGTATAGCAGGCAGTTCAGTTGCTGGCTCCTAACAAGTGCCCAATAGCTATGAGTTCCCTCCCCGTCTCCAGTGCACTTTACCCTCATGATATATTACGATCCTCCCAATCTGCTGGCTTTCCTCTAGCGTGGCCTGCCCTCGGCCCATTTTCAGACCAGCCAATGGAGCCATTGGCTGATGGCTGCAACTATTTTTCATGCAGTTGGTCTCATTCCAGCAGTTTCACGTGGCCTCTTGCTGTAAATCAGTCTGGGAAAATAAATGTCCCCAGTCCATTAGTGCCTTTCCACCACAAGCCAATTTGAGCCACAAAACAGGCCAGCTTCTTAATGGCCACTTAAATACATTCCTGCAGCCCAGTCTGGAGACTCTCAGCCTCGAATCCCACCAGCTCCTGTCCAAAAGAACCTCCACTGTTACAAGACTGCTGGCAGCAAAGGCATAGACCAGACCCTTAACACCTGCGGGGGGCAGGGTAGGGGGATAGTTTGTCCCTGCTATCCCAGAGTAATTATTAGCAGTGTTCCTTTCACTCTCCAAAGAGTGCTGGTCTGAATGATAGCGACTATAAAAGGTATCTATGGAAACCAAGTATAATAATTTATAGTAATAATAATAATGTCTAGCATCCATTGATCACTTGCTGTGTGCCACACATCACCATAAAGGTCCGGATGCACCGTGGGCTCATTGTGACTCAGCAGAAACCCCCTTACAGCACTCTGAAGGGAGGTGCTATTATTATCTCCATTGTATAGAGCAGGAAGCTGAAGTTTAGAGCAGTAGGCGACACGGTCAAGGTCAACCAGTGTAGAGGGCGCGGGTTGTGCCTCACTCAGATCCCTTTTACTGGGCAGTGCACCCATCCTCCGGCTGCTGGGCGAGCTGGCTGCTCAGAGCTCAGAGCAGTCCCCGTCCCCTCTTCCATGGGGAACAGAGGCTCCACATCCCCCCTTGGAAAGCAGCCCAGAGCCCAGAACTGACTGATGACAGGGGCTGGGGGGCGGGGGGGGGGGCGGGGGTGGCCCAGAAGGCTTCCCCCATTGCTACAAGGTCAGATTGACTCTATGGTACAACTCATGCTCCAGAACCCCTGGTGGGATCCAACTGAGACCCAGCTCTTGCTTGGCTACTTCCCCAGCCCCATCCTTCTTCCCTTGCTCCCAGTCTCCCGAGAGCACCTCTTACATCAACCACTTCAAAAAGCATCCCTGTCCCAGGCTCTGCCTCCAGGGGACCAGTCCTAGGATAGCCAGTTAGCAGGTGGCTGAGCTGGGACTCATGTCTAGGAAGGTCTCACTCTTCATCACTAAGCAGATGTGATATAACACTGCCTATATTATACATCTCCAAGTCATCAAGTCTCCAGGAAATATGTCATACAGGCATAGATACGATAACAGTCACAACGACTACCGTTTACTTAGTGCCAACTTTGGGCCTCTTTCCTGCATCTGATCCTCTCAACACCATAATGTTCATTTTAGTATCCCCATTTTGCAGTTGAGGCACAAAAATCTTGGAGAAGTTGAGAGAGATGCTCACCGAGGTTACACGGATACATCTTTCTCCAAAGGCCAGGCACTTTTTCCCCTCGGCCAGTTAAATCGCTTGCTGTGTAAATTGTTCCCTGAATGGTAGATGAAACAGATTCCCCATTAAAGTTGATGCTCTGGCAACAATTTAGATGGAAGACTGGGCTATCCCTCCCACCCTGCACACCCCGCAGTGGTTCTTCCTGAGCTGCGTTTGACCATCAAGCCTCCACTTTGGGGGGAAAGCCGTATTACTCTGGGAATGGCCAGAGAATGTCTCCTTAAGCCAGACATAAACAGATCAAAGGAGCCATATTCACTGAAGAAAGGAAAGAAAGCAAGCTTATGTGCCAAAGGTCCGGAGAAGTAAATTACATATCTTGTGGCTTTTCCAGAGAGGGAGACAAAATAGAATAAAAGGAAAACAGCAGAGCTTTAAGGAGAAACAGACCATGATTCAAATCCTATCTCTACTACCTGTGTGATGTTTTAGCAAATTACTGAACATCTCCAGGCCTCAGTTTGCTCTACCATAATACCTACTGCGCTAGACCACAGATGAGAGGGGTAAATGAGATAAAATATGTATTTCCCCCTGCCTCTTCTCTTCCATTTCCATAAAATTTATACAGTAACCAACTTGGACCCTCATTCCAGGTCTGAATACTACTAGTTCAGATAAACTATGGTTTATTCTCTAGCAAAAAGCATATCCTATTTGATGATAAAAGGTTTACATTAAAAATAGAGAATGAGAGAGAGAGAGGGAGAACAGATAAGAGGGAAACCTTCATCCAGGAGGCGATCAGCTGATTCATAAAACTACAGAATGAGTCTTCCTGGCTCCAAGGCTAAACTTACAGTCAATGGGCATCTTTGGCCAGCCAATCCTAACCTAGTGGAGAAAGAAGGGCCCAGCGGGCAATCCTCACAAACCGATTCCAGCCCCACCTTGCAAAACCGATTATCTCTGCTTCCAGCTTGGGGAAATGAAAATCAATCTGGGCCTTTGCAATACTGTATTCCAAATCCGCCCCCTCACCCCCTATGGCTGGCTAGCTTTCTGAACAACTGGGGTGGGGGATCTGCAGTGATTCCATTGTGTGTGTGTGTGTGTGTGTGTGTGTACGGCTCCAGTGAAAAACAGGCTTCAGTGTCTGGCTTTGAAAATCAGTCTCCCGGCCTTCATCTTGACATTTATTATTTCCGAACGCTTCAGATCCTCTCAGCATTTATGCAGTAAGTGAAAGGCTGGAGAACCCAGACCTATTTGCCCTGCAGATGACAATCTCTTCTCTTAAAAAGTAGCTTCAACATTTTCACTCTCTGAAAATACACTCTGACAAAGAGTCCTAGAACCCAGTCCTCAATTTGAGGAGGGTCATAAATTACACACACACACACACACACACACACACACACACAGTATTTTTGATAGGTGGTTTAGGAAGGAGAATGATCAATACACAGTTTTAATGTTACTAGATAGACATTCTTCCACCAGCAAGTGAAGAAAAATAATGACTCAACAATCCCCCTCCAGGCGTCTTTCCTCCATCCATTCATCCAGCAGTAACTTAGTCATTCAGCAAGAGCTTATTCAGGATATACTGGGTGCCAAGCTCTGCGCTGGGCACTGGGAATTTATTGGTGAGCAGGGCAGGGGTAAGCTCTGCCTTCTGGGGTCAGCCAGCTTGGTTCAGCAAGAGTTAACAGAACAGAACTGTATAGGATCCCCCAGTTGGCCAGAGCTTTGTCCCCTGCCCTGAATTTCCCAGGGAGAGGCCCCTGTGTTTAGAGTCAAACATGACCAGCCCCATATGTGATGAGTGAGCCAGAGAGCAGCGACCGCCTCTCTCCAGCCTCCTTCCAGTCTGGCGAATGAAACCTGCGTCTGCTCTCGAAGCGGCAAAGGGGAGGGGAAGCTCCTTTGCCTTTTTCTTGCCTCTAGATTGCTCCCAGATTCTGAGTTTGGGGGTCTCACCTGGGAACCGGTGAGCTGGCTGCTGCTTTTAGGGAGCAGTGTCTGTTGGGGGCTTTAAAAAACCACGATGGGAAGGGGTGGGCCCATCTCACTCAAGAGTAGTGGTCCAGTGAACCCTCTGGGATGAGCCCTCCCTCCCCAGAATTCCAAGGAAATGACCATATAGTAACAGCACAAGAGAGGCTTAAACACTCCAGGAGGAATCCCAGCCGGTTCGGGGGTGTGGGGGGAGGGGGAAGGGAGAAGGGAAGCGGCAGTCTGAGGTTCCCTGGGGAGGAGTGGGGGGGGAATAGAAGGGTACTCAGATTGCTGAGCTCCTCCTGAGATGGCAGCAGGAGTTAGGAGCAGATTCAGTTGTTTTGTTTGTTTGTGTTTTTCCTCTTCAGAGAAACACAGAAGATGCCTGTGGGGAAAGAGGGGGGATGAAGTAGCAGTCTTGGCCTCAGGCCTCACGGGGCTGAGACGCTGGGTACCTAGGATGCTTCCCAGTTCCTTTGCCCATATCAGACCGCAAGGACGGGAGTGTGCAGCTGTGAGGAGGAAGGACGCATTTCCCCAGCCCCGCACTTCGTCCCCAGCCCCACCAGGACAATAGCATAGAGGCTGAAAAGGTCCAGTATCAAATCCTGGCCATGCCACTTAGTGGCGGCCGAATGATCTTGGGCAAATCACTCTCCGAGCCCTGGTTGCCGCACCTGTAATGGGGGACAATGATGGTGCCTAACTCACTGGGTCCCAGGAAGTATTAAATAAGATCGCACACATAAAACTCTAAAAAACGAAAGCTCGTACACAGTAAGCCGACGGTTAATTTTAAGCATGTTATCGTCAAACCCCCTCTCCTGGCAGCTGAGCTGTCCTACCCCACGGAGAGCTCCCGCGGCGCAATCTTCCAGACCCTGAGCGCTGGGCGCCACATCGACCCTTCCCCTCTCACAGGCTCCTCCGGTCACCCCTAGATCCGGCTCGGGGAGGGCGAGGGCCGCCTCTCAACATCCTCCCCAGCATCAGCTGGCCCAGGGCCTCGGGGAGGCTCTGAGACCCGGGTGAGGGCGCGGAGGGGGGTGTCCACGGAGGCTCTCCCCCCACCTGCTCCCCGGAGCACTGAGCGCGCAAAGAGAGAAAAAGAGAAAGGCGCGGATACTGGACCAGGCTTTGACGCGGATCTTGAGCTCGCCGTCCTGCGGCTCGGGCATGGCCTTCCTGGTGACCCGCAGCTTGTTGAGCCCCCCGAAGCCGGCCAGCACCACGGCGCGCATCTCCTGGGCGTCCCCGAGGCGGTGAGAGCCGCCGCCGCCCTCCGCCGGCTCCTTTACTGCCTCTTTCTCGATCATTTGCTCCGTCTCCTCCGCTTTCTCCACGCCTTCCTTGGCCATGGCGCGCGCGGGCGCGGGGCGCACGGGCTGCAGCGGCTGAGGCGCGGGGGGCTCGGGGCTCTTCTCCCGCGGGTTCCTCCTGTTGAATGTGGGATGCTCAGCGGTGCAATGGCTGCAGCCTCTGCGAGCAGCGCCGCGGTCCACAGCCTCCGCCGTAATCCTCCCAAGAGCCGCGCCACTGTCCGCCCCACCTCGCTCCCCACCGCTCTTCCCTGCCCGATCAAAGCCTCAACTCCAGTTTCTCAACCAGTGTCAAATCAAGCTCTTGATCGTAGACCCAGAGTCCAGATTTGCCCCAAACTCGTGAGTTAAACATGCAGAGAGGACGCCTTGTCCTCCGCTGTGGGCGCAATACTTCATTATATACGGTGCAGGTTGGGCGCCTTGAAATGGACAGAGATGAATGTCTGAGTCTGGAGGATGCCTCCCCGCCCCGAGATTGCCTCCTCTCCCACCGACATGCGGGAGCGGGCGGGATAGACTGGAAATGGTGCTTTTTCCCAAACCATCAGTCCCAGCTAGAAGAGAGGAGAGGTTCTGGAAGCTGGAAACTAGAAATCCCTCTCGCTGCCCCGAGGAGTCCAAATCCAGGGTCTTCGCACTCAGGACCTCCAGAGTTATCGCGGATGCTCTTTACAGCATCGCCAGGAGCATCTTCTGATGGCTAATTCTCACTACTCGCACCATTTGGGGCCGTTAAAGAGGCTCCAAAAAGAACCAGAAAGCGGTCCTGTTCTTGATTTGACCTCCCCCCACCCCGAGAAGATCAGATCAGTGTGCACCCCTCCGCAACACAGTCGTGTACACACACACACACACACACACACACGTGTGTGTGCGTGCCCACGCGCAGCAATAACTGGCTTTTTGTTTTTTGTTATCAAGGCCTTTGAAAAAGAGCTCACGGGAAAATCTTAGATTTTTTTTTTTTAAGGAAAAAAGATGGGGGATTGCCTTACGGCAGTTTAAGGAAAGATGCAGTTGAGGAATGATAGGTGTATATTCTAGTTACTGTGCAACCACAGCCAGCCTTGGGATCTTGGATGACTCATTCAGTCTTTCAAGCCTCAGCTTCCTCATCCATAAAATGGGTGCATTAATTTTGTTTATTTGCAGTGTGCTAAATGCTGGGCTGGACATGACTTTCGATAACTCATGGTCCTTACCTTAGAGGAGCTCATTCTCAGAGTGTGAGGCAGGGAGGACACAGTCAACAAATCGACAGGACACAATGAATAGTGTCAGTGCCTCTTCTCCCTCGGCCTCTCTGCTTTAATGCCCTGGCCTTCTATTCCTCAAAAAGAGTATTAGGTTCCCTCCTACCCGCTGTTGTCCCCAAGCCTGGAATGTATGTCCCACCTCCTTGTGTTAATTCTTAGTTCACTCCCAACTCAAGCACCCATTCCTAGTGAGAAGCTCCCCAACCCCAGGGTACGTTGGCTGTCCTGTATGGTAAACTCTCGTGACAGTTTGTAACAAACTTTTATATGATTACCTGTTAATGTCTTTCCCTTTTCCAGCTGTGGTCTTCATGTGAGCAGGAGCTATTTCTGCATTTATCCAGCATGGTTTCTCTGGGAGGTTGGCACATGATTGGTACATTGTAGAATATACTCAGAAAAATGCTTGTTGAATGAATGAATGAGTTTGTGAATGCAGATGCTACCCAGAGGAGGGTACAGTTGAAGAAGACCTCAGAGAGCAGGGGACTTGAGCCAGACCTTGAAGATGAGCCAGATTCCTCAGGCGGGTGGTCTCAAGCACCTTCAAACACATAGCAAGGTGACAGGCGATAGGACTTTTGGGAAGACACTGCCTTATTCTACGTGAGCTGAGCATTGGCTCTGTTTGGCAGTCACTGGAGACTAGGCTGAAAGGTTGGTAGGCACCAGCTTTTGAGGAATTTTACAGACTGTGTTATAAAATTTAAGACATAATCATGGAGGCAGTGGGCATCACTGAAGGCTTAAAACACAAAAACAAGGGAATGGCATCACCAGACTGCATTTCAGGATAACAACTTTGGCAGAAAGGGGGTGATGGTTTAGAGGATACAGTTACTGGAAGCGTGGAGATCAGTTAGAGACTAGACAGACAAAAATCAATAAATCAATAAATCAATCAGTAAATAAGAGGCTCAGCCGAGGCAATGGCTGTGGGGTGGAAGAGAGGAGATTAAAAGGAAGCCGCAATAAAGATGTTAAAAAAAAAAAAAAAAAAAAAAAGGAAGCTGAATAGACAAGGCTTGGCTAGTGAATTAAACATTTTATTGTAAACCCAATTGTCCAAATTATTAAGCCTGTTAGCATTGTGAGATATAACATTGAGGCTGGATTCTACCCTGAAACAAAAATTGTTTTTTCATAAATTTATTTATTTAATTTTTGTTGCATTGGGTCTTCGCTGCTGCGCATGGGCTTTCTCTGGTTGCGGCGAGCGGGGGCTACTCTTCATTGCGGTGTGTGTGCTTCTCATTGCAGTGGCTTCTCCTGTTGCCGAGCACAGGCTCTAGGTGTGCGGGCTTCAGTAGTTGCAGTGTGAGGGCTCAGTAGCAGTGGCTCGCGGGCTCTAGAGCGCAGGCTCAGTAGTTGTGGCGCATGGGCTTAGTTGCTCCGCGGCATGTGGGATCTTCCTGGACCAGGGCTCGAACCTGTGTCCCCTGCATTGGCAGGCGGATTCTTAACCACTGCACCACCAGGGAAGTCCCTGAAACAAGAATTTGAGTGCCAGTAGTTTATTTTGGAGGTAATCCCAGGAAGCTCCCATCAGGAAGGCAGAAAGTGAGCAGGGAAGCACTAGAAACCAACATAGGGTGTGTTACCACGGGGACAAATGGGGCTCAAACCCAGAGACAGTGTGGAACAAGCCTTAGTGTTATCCCTCCCAAGGAGTAAGGAAATGGGTATTTTTAAACTAAGTTTTCTGCTGATTGAACAGCTAAAGGCTGTTCCTGGAAGTGTTAACTCCCTGGCACTTCCAGCCTGCTCCAGGTACCTGGGCTGAGATGCCCCAGTCAGGATGCTCTCAGTAAGAAGCCATCACCTTAGACAGGGAATGGTGAGTTCAGAGGGGATATGGACTTGACGCTGACAACATCTGCAAGGTGTGGTGTTGTTTTGGGGGTGACTACTCTTCTAGACACTTTAGGTATGTTTTGTGATTTGATTCTCAGAATAACCTTATTAGGTAAGCATCGTTATTCCTACTTTACAGAAGATGAAACCGAGTCTTAACATGGTGAATTATCCTGCTCAAAGGAACACAACGACTGTGGTGTGATACACAACTGACACCAAGTGGATGCTCTTGACATGTCACCACGCATGCTTATTTGGGTGGGTCAAATGAGTCCTTCCCCTGATTGGTAATACTCCATGGCATTTTTGGTGTTCTTTTCCCCTTTATTGGCCTCCTAATATTTCTGTCCCACTAAGATCCCTTGCCTCGATTCTGAGGGGTTTCCTTTAGCAACAGAAAGTTAATCTACTTTGCACTCAGCACACAGCATGTTTAAGATAAAGTGTTTGCCTTATAGTATGTTAAAAGGAATATAATTACTTCCTCCAAGGGAATCTTCTGGCTGTTTACAAACCCCAGATTATAATTGGTTTCCAGCTGATTGTGACAACAACTAAGAGGAAACACACCATAATCTGTGCTGCTTGGGGAGGAATACCTTCCTCTGCGTCTTATATACCACCATTTGGATCATTAAGTATTCCCAAGTCTTCTCCTCTCTGGTGGAATATGACAAGTGCCATACGGCAAGGCATCTCTCCAAATAAGCACAATAAATCTATTTTCAATTTATAAAATTGATTCCCTGGGCATTAGCTCATTTAGAGCTTCAGTGGTGAAATATCTTATATTGTAGGGCAGTGTCACACAGTGGCCACTGCTGGTGAAATATAGTATTACAACTCAGCTCTATTAGCTTGTATATGACGTGGGAACAGGTGTGTGTCCCCGTGGGAGGAGTATAGACAGTCAAAATAGGAACTGCTCAAGGTATGAACCATCTTAGGGCAGTGTCACACAAAAAAGGTGAGATCTTTGAGCAAGAATATATGGGAAACTATCTTAGTATGATTTCAGAATGGTTTTCTAAATAACTTGGAATGGTTCAGTAACTTTCCAGAGAAATAGGTTACCTGGAGCAAACAGTCAATGTCTGAAACTATATCCTTCAGTAAGATTTATTTTATTGTATTTTCCTCAATACAGTTAGAGTCATTTATTATAATACATTGTTTAATCTAAAAAATAATCCTGTGCCATAGGTACTATGATCCTTATTTTACACAGGAGAAAATTTAATAGAAACTGAGTAACTTTCCCGAGGTTACCTACCTAGTCTGTGGCAAGCTGGGATTTGAAGTGGGAGTCAGTTGACTCTAAAATGTGGATTCTTAACCACTATGCCTAATGCCTATGGTTTTATAAGCTGTTATATGTTTCAGAATTTCCATAGAATAGGTTGAGAGGAAGGAGAAAAATTTAGAAGGTCAGTAATGAAGAACGGTTAGTAGTTGATGGCCACTGAAAGATCTCAGTAAAATCCAAGAACTCATATTCAAGGATGTATGCTATAATTTCTTATAGTTTGGGTTGATGTAATTTAAAAGGTAATGAAGCATGATTGACACAAATACAGCATTATCTTCAGAGAAGTACTGGATAGGTGTACAGCCCATCCTGAAGGTGGTAGAATAAAGTTCCTATTTATATATCATAGGACCAGTCACAGATGGTTAACTCTAGATGTGTCAGAGGGAAAAAAAATGAACTGATATCTGTTCATCACCTTTTGAGTGCTGACCTTGTACTATTGCTAAGTACTGGAGATAGAATGGTGAATAAGACAAACATTCTCAGTCCCAATGGAGCTAGCATTCTAACTAAGGAGAAGTATATTGGATTAGGTTGGGTTCCCCAGAAGCAAATCTTTCCTAATTTAAATATTTGAGTACAAATGGCTTATTTGAGTGGTGATTCTAGGAAGTAGGCATCTGTGGAATTGATATAGGGAAGGGAAAGAAGTCAGTACAAGGTACATTATGTAGCAGGTTATCACTGTCATTAACTCAGGTTAAATCCTGCTGGGGAATTCTAGATGA